TGAGTCTCTGGTTATTCCCCAAAATGTGACCACTTCACAGAGGTGGGAATGATGAGAGTTAAACATGATCATCTAACTAAAGTCCTTCGCCCTGTGCTGGACTATGGCAAACCCTGGGTAGATAGTAGCTAATGGCATTATTAGTTGAACAATGCTGATGATGATTGCTGAAAACCAGCCACAAAGTAAAAGAGGTGAAGCTATACCACGTGTTAGGATCCTTACAGGAAACAGAGCTCACCCCAGATGGTTTAGGTGAACAGACTTTGATAAAGAGGCAGAAGAGGGGCAAGTTCAGGGAGTTAGCCAAGATGGTGAGGTGCTGGGGTCTGTAGTAGCAGGAAACTAGTGCACCTGTGTGTCTGGACAGATGAGGGCAGAGAAAGGTACTAGCAGAGCCCAGTACAAGGTGAAGACCTTGAAGAGGACCATCTGGAGAGAGGTGGTGTGGACAGAGGCTGACGGAGTAGGAGAGAGCGGGATGACATGCTCTGATCTTCTTTCTGCTCCTGTCCCCTGTCTCCTTTTAGCACACGCATCCAACAAACAATGAATGCAGAGGCAGGTGCAGTGATGTAAAAGAGGGCAGGGGTGCAGTAGGCAGCTCTGTTGGGGAGGAAATGGAATGTGTGTATCAGGAATAGGCACTTTGAGGGGACAGTTTGTTCTGCAGCAGTGACAGGAAACAGAGAGTCAGGAGAGTTAGGAGCATTATCTGCAGCATCCTGGAATCTCACACCTATGAGTTCTATGAGTAGTGGGGAAGCCAAAGGTTGGCAGGTATCTTAGTCCATTTTCTGTTTCTATAGAATAGCACAGTCTGAATAATTTATAAAGAAAAGATGTATATCTCAGTTCTAAAGTCTGGAAAGCCCAAAAACAAGGTGCAGCCACGTGGTAAGTACTGGCTCCATACATGGCAGAGGGAATCTCATAGCAAGCTCAGGTAACTCTTCTTCTAAAGCCACTGCTCCACCACAGAGGCCCCTCGTGACTTCATCTCACCCTAATTGCTTCCTAAAGGCTTCACCTCCAAATACTATCAAAAAACAAATTTGAAGATTGGATTTCCAACACATGAACTTTTGGTGGATATACTCAAATCATAGCAGTGGGCCATAAAAGAGCAAACATGTTTCAGTGCGGCTATGTGCCACATGCTCCTGTCCCCACACCCAGGGATAGGGGAAAATGAGGCCCAAGGTGGCATGAAAACCGCAGCTAGTTAGCTGCATGTGCAGGACTGGAATTCATGCCCCAAGACAGAGAGGCCACAGAAGTGTTGTGCACCAGAGAGCAAGTGGCTCAGTGAGATGGTTCATTTTCACTAAGAAACTGGCATTCATTCTAATTGCTCAGCAGAGTAGCAAGAAGGGCATAACCAGGTCAAACATGTCCTGGGCTTGGCAGTACCATCTCGAGATCATATCTACCTACCCAATTCAACTCCCTTGGTCACAGTCCTGGCTCTACCAAGAGCTATGTGGCAGGATGTTTAACCTCACAATTTCTCACCTGTAAATTGCAGATAATCATAATGTGCATATGACAAGATTGGCATGGAGATTTAAAAATTATCACATATAATACCAGTTAAAAGTAAATACAATAAACATTAGCTACTAATAAAAGTATATTAGCTATTATCATAAGTACTCTTATTATGAGTTATTAGCAACGTAATGATTAACATTTATTTGAGTGCTTATTATGATTAGCATTGTTGAGTTAGAAGGGAGGGCTGGGGGCACAGACACAGCAATTACCACAAAACCTCATCTAAACCAAGCCACAACAGTACCTTGGGTCAAAAGTCAACACCAGGTCATGATATCAGTTTAGAGTTATCAGACTTTAAAAAAAAATGAAAGAGAATGAACTGGGAAGTTCAGAATGCATTAACTTTTGTGAAACTTCTGCTTCTATATTATATGGATAAACAACACACACTCACATACATATGAGTTACCGTCAAGAAAGCCTTTAAGATCCTTCAGGAAAAGGTATTATCACCTGCTTCTGTGTGGTCCTGCCCCTCAGACATTCAGGTCCCTCATCTTGCCAGCTGGCGTCAGGGGGCTGAGAACTGAGACAGGAGAGCTCAGAGCCATGCCTCAGAGCACCAGTCATGGTTTCATTTCTATGTATCCTCGGTCAAATCTCTAGCCCAATATCTAAGGATATTTTGAGAACTGGGAATCAAAAAAGCCACTCATCCCTCTTCACTGGTTCTGGGTACAATTGTAGCATATCTAGCAATGCCAGCTTTGCCACTATTCATTCTACCACGTGGCCCTAGGCAGGAGACTGTATGGCCACAGGTCACTGTTGTTCCATCTACCATAAATACTATGGAATAAAATAGTTGTCTGATATGCTTCATGGTTACTATGAGGCACCAATAAAATCACAAGTGTTTGCCCAGCTCTCCACATTTATCAAGGAGTGCAAGGAGAAGTCTCCAGTAGACATTTGCGATCCATAAGTCCCAGAGACATCCTGCAGTGACCCCAGACCTTTCCCTTGCAAAGTGATGTGGTTGCCATTTGAGGATGTCTAAAGGACTCTTTAACAAAGCAGAGTTTTTGCACTGGAGCCAAACTAAAACCCAACCTGGAGAGGGTCTTCAAGGTATTCAGAGGGAAGAGAGTGTCTTCAGGTCAAAGGGCTGCCTCAGATGTCCAGTCCTCAGGCCAAATCTGCCCCACTGGTGTGTTTCATTTGGCTTACAAAGCATTTTTCTTTCATTTTTAAAAATAATAACATTTAAAAATCATACATTTTACATCTAAATGCAAATTTCCTACACATCCTAAAAATTCATGAGACATCACCACACACACACACACACACACACACACACACACCCCAAATGGGCAGCCCTGAGAGGCCACAACTGCCAGAGGCCAAGCCACTGAGACCGTGCATCCACTTGGTTCATCACTGCTACTGTGGTGCAGTCTCTCTAATCAGATAGTGAGGCAAGGGAATGTTTTGTACACCCGTGTCACTCTGAAACATGGAACAATGGAAAGCCAGAACCAAGAAGGTATATGTTTCCAGGAAAATAAGACACCTTGTTTATCTTTTGAAGGATGCACTGCTTTCCTCTTGTACTCAAGTGCTGGCCCAGTAGGGGGTTGTGTTTGCTACCGGGAGCTAAAGGAAGACATAAGAGAAGAGAATCAGGTGCTTTTGCAGCTAAAAACTGCAGAGTGTCAGTCTAGGGAAAGAGAGACACAGCAAGGCCAGTGAGGAGCTCCCTACCCCTCCATACTCAGACACCATGGCAATGCCGGCTGCATGGAACAAGCTCAATGCTTCCAGATGTTGGTGGTGGCCCTGCTAAGACTATGGATCTGAGGTGACAAGCTGGAGGGATGTTGGGGGTCTCAGGGAAGCAGAATAGAATAGAAAAAATCAGGCTTTAGAATCAAACAGACCTGGATTCCAATTGTAAATTGCTACTAAGTGATCTCAAAGGAGGTTTTGAACCCCAGTTTTCTCACCTATCAGATGGGCACAGTAAGCTAGTTGATTAAACAAATACTTGTGCACTCTGAGTGGCTGAGGTAGGAGGAGATCAAGTTGAGCCCAGTTAGGCAACTTAGTAACTTTGTAAAAACCTGTCTCAAAAAGAAGTATACACACACACACACAGTGGACCCTTGACTTACAAATTTGATCAGTTCCCAAGGGATGGTTGTAATTCAAGTTAGTTTTGAGTCAATATAGTTGAGTTCTGGATGTTTACCTGGATACATGCAATAGATAACAAGAGGTAGACAAATCATTATCTCAAGTTGTTTGTATGTCAGGCCAGTCATAACTTGAGGATGTGTATGGAAAAAAGAAAATTACTCAGTACCTACTAAGCACCTAGCATGCTGTGGCTCAGGAGTAAACAAAACCTACGAGACATCTACTCTCAGGGTACTTACATACTAGTGGTGAGAGACCAAGAAGAAGCAAAGAATCACATAAAAATTGAGTTGTGATAGCACAGATTGGTTGTTTATACCTTGGTATATTTCCAGTAAAGGCTGAAGTCAGTAATAATGTCTTGGGACATATGACAATTTATTGAACTGATATAGACAACTCAGTGCCTGCATATGGCCATTCGTTTTACAAATACTTAAGGTGCCCTAAGAGTTCTGGGTCAAGCCCTATCCCCACTGGGATATGATGGGAACAAAGTAGGACAGTTCCCTGTGCAGGTGTTACTAAATAGTATGCCTGCTGGCCTTGGTCGCCAGCTCCCATGATAGGCAGCCCTGGAGAACAGCCGGGCAGCCCCTCGGTGGAAGGCTAAGTGGCAGAGGCAGGAGTCCTCACTAGAGGCCTGGGTAGCCAAGCCGTCTGCCACTGACCAGCCCGGTGTGGGAGTGGTGCCTTAGCCTCTGCAGCCTCATCCTTCACCCACTTCGCTGCTACAGTGAATCCAGGCCCCAAGTGGACCCTGGCATTGCCTTTGTGTGCTGATGACCACAGCTCACCCCTTTCTTCTTCTTCTTTTTTTTTTTCTTTTAAATCTTACTGAGTTGATTGCTACTTTTTAAGTATACAGTACAGTTACATTCATCATTGGGATCTTGTACCCTTACATGACAGCTCTTGGTTCTCATTTGTCCTCCCCTATTGACAAAGACCTTGTTTCCATTTTTTCCTTTTCTCATATTTTTTCTTTTCCTTTATTTCCTTTCCCCTACCCTTCCCACTTCCCTTACACCTTTAGCCCTTTTCTTCATATTTCACATCATCAGTTATACAATTTGTATACAGTCATACAATTTACACTTTTAGTTTTTCACACCAGAGAAAGTATTCAGTATTTACAAGTGTATCTTATTTATTTTGTTTACTATGCATCCATTTTCCTATGAATGACTCTAATTTTTCACTCTTTGTGGCTGAGTAGTACTCCATTTTATAGAAAAACCACATCTTCTTTATCCAGTCTCCAACTGATGATGCCCCTTTCTTTGTTCTGGCTCCAGATCACTGGGCCCTGAGTGCACCGAGGACACAGTTGGTGGATGTGGAAGAGCACAGGCCAGAGGCCATGGATGTGAAGGAGAGGAAGCCTTACCGCTCGCTGACCCGGCGCCGTGATGCCGAGCGCCGCTATACCAGCTCTTCTGCAGACAGCGAAGAGGGCAAAGCACCCCAAAAGTCCTACAGCTCCAGTGAGACCCTGAAAGCCTATGACCAAGATGCCCGCCTTGCCTATGGCAGCCGCATCAAGGACGTGGTGCCACAGGAGGCTGAGGAGTTCTGCCATGCAGGTAAGAGAGGGAGGCTAGGCTGCAGGCCCAGCACAGGTGGGCTGCATTTGCACAGGGGAGCTGGAATGTAAGTGAGGTACCAGGGTGAAACTAAATGCTGCTATTTTGGCACAAGGTCAAAGCACTATAGTTCACTTTTAGTGCATACTCTCACCCGACCCTTAGCATAGATGAGGCAGCTAGAAGCTAGCTGGACTCCAGGCAGACGGCCAGACTCAAGCTCTCCTCTGAGACTCAGGTTAGATGGACATGAACAGTCCCTCTACCTCAGTGACCTGCAAGTACCCAGTGAGATGACATGTCTAAGCAGCAAGTATGATAACTCCAAGTAAGTGCCGAATACACGTTAGTCCTCCATTTTGATATTTGTTTATTTAACAAGCTGATCTTAGCACCTTCTTTGTGTTAAGCCCATGTAATTTGGAGAGGAAGATGCACCTAGATGATTAGAACTTAAAACTTAGTCTTATTCTGACTCCTGGCTCCCTGTCCTTCACTCCATCTATCCACTGGTCACGAAGGCCTATTCATTCTTACCCAGAATGCCTTTCAAACATATCCCTCTTCTTCACTCCTCTGCCACTTCCTCTCCTGGCCACTCTCATTTCTCTTGAGGTATTAACCACAATACTCTTCCTTGCCCAAAGCTGTGCCTCTTGGGCCATTCTCCGCACTACATCAGAATGAAGCTTGGGGTGACTCCATATGCCTGACACTGAGCTTCTGAACTTGGCGTTGGGAGCCTTAACAGAAACATTGCTGTCTTTCCCAGCAGTGCTGTACCTACGGCAGGCATTCCACCGTGGGCTCTCCATATCAGTGAAAACTCTAAAAGGTTTGTCATCACTGTCCTAAACCATTCTGCCCTCGGCCTTTCTTTACCCCACTGTTTACGGCCCATCCTCACTAAACTGTGCCCACACCCACAGCGAGGAGTGTTTCCAAGTCTGGTACTTCGGGGACGCCTATTTTCTATTTTTCTGCCTGCAGTGACAGCCTTGGGGCTTGGTGGGTGATCAGCCTCTCACAGTTAGTGCAGCTCACCCTAATACTGCCCTGCCCTGCTCCCCTCCACAGTGTCAGTAGAGCACTTGTCTATGTCATTTATATACATTTCATAGTGTTATTTAATCCTTACAACAGCCCCAGGCTGACTCATTTGCCTAAGATCACAGAGGTAAGAGAAACAGGTCATGTGCAAGGCCACTTCATAGAGATCACACTGACAGACCACTTCATTCTGGATTCTCAGTTCACTGGGCCACATACAAGCAAATGGTCAAGGATATCTTGGCCTATGTTGGTTTTGCTACTATCCATTCTTGTCTCTTCATGTTCTTGGGGATCAACATGAAGTGCATGTGTATCTTGTGACCTTCTCTTTCCCACCTTCCCACAGGCTTGGATCCATGAGCAAGCTGCCTCTTAGGCTTGAAACATGAGGGCCTCTCAATTCTTTTTCAGCTTGTGGTTAAGAGCTCAGGTTCTGACATTAGACAGATCTGGATTTGAATTCTTGGCTCTGCCATTGTCATGACCTTCAGCCTCTTCACCTGTACAAAGGGATAATAATACCTAGGGTTAGGGCAGTCATGAGGATTGATGAAAACTATAGATAAAGTACTCGATAGCAGTGCTTGGCACAAAACAAATGCTTAAAATGCTACTATTAGTTACTACCACTGAGTTTTGGTAGGTGTATTGCAGAGCTTTCCTCTACCTCCTTCCTGCCTATGGTAGCACAGCTCAACCAGCCCTTAGTTTAGATGCAGCACTAGCACATGAGATCAGGAAGGAAACTCTCTCTGGTCTTTGTAAATCACAAATAAGAAGTACTCTCATTTCGTATACAGGCCTATTGTATAGTGGTTTACAGATAACCATCCTGGCTCATCAAAACTCCCATCAAGGTAGCAAGTCATATACTATCACCCCATTTGAGGACAGAAAACTAAAACTTGGAGGATCACAAGTTTCCAATTGCACAGATAGATGTTGAGTGAGGTGAGATGTCAACCTGTGTTCTAAGCTCTCAGGAAAGAGGCAAAAGGTCACCAAGCAAACAGATGGTGAGGACTTCTCTCCTGTGATGAAATAAATCCCCCAGATTCACACAGGAGAGGGGATGGCTCCCTCCACAGACTTACTTAGCCCTTAAAGTTGTCCCTAACCATGCATTTCTCCTATCCCGAGATGTTTTTGCTCACTGGTATTGACTTGTTACTGATTGTAGCTGCTTAAGCGGGTGTGCAGGGCAAACCAGATGGAAATCAATGCAGCCCAGGCTGTTTATGGCAAGCAAATTTGACTTTTCACTGCGTGTAGCAGTCATTCTTCATAATATGTGAGTGGCCTCTCTTGAGAGGGCTGGCTCAGCAGAGCTTAGATATAGGCTGGGGTGGAGGGTAGGACAAGAGTGGAAAGTATGAGCAGAGAGCAGCCAGGGAGTGGGATGTGCAGACAGGGTGGGAAGCCAACTGAGGGATTTAAGGTCCAGTTTGGAGACTGAAATAAGAGGGCAGATTGGAGTATGGCACACAGGGGTGATACTCAAACTGTGTAACATCTGGTCTGGTCCAGACCCCAGCCAGTCAGAATGTCTGCCTGGCCACAAACAGAGCCCAGAAGCCCCAGCTGTGTGGGGCCTGTGGCATTAACTGGTTTTCAATAACTGGATCTTGGGAGACTGGGAAAAGGGTTTAAGAAAGGCTGTGTAGTTGCCAGTGCAGAGTCAGAGAGGCAGTGGGGGTCTTGGATACCAGCTGCAGTATTTACCTGCCAATATGGAAATATTTCATTACTTTCACCTCAACCCAAACTGTCTCCACTTGAACCACCTGGGGAGCAGGAGCAGGCTCAGGCTTACCTCCTCCCATCCCCACAGCCTGCTGGGCAGCTTCCGAGACAGCAGGGTCCCCTTTGGTTTCTCCTCCCCAGGAAGGTCTCCCCGATCCATGCTCCAAAGTGCTACCAGGGTGTACTCATTTATGTGTTTATTTAACTGACTTTTACAGGGCACCTACTCTGTAGCATGGGTGAGCGGTACATGACACAGAGACATCTAAACCACTCAGTGAGCAAAGGGTTAGTGGTAAGAGTGAAAACAGTTATAATGGCACCTCTGCTGGTTCCCTTCTGCCTTCTTCTAGCAGCCCCTCTCCCTTTCCTCTTCAGGCTCACCTGTCGTGTGCAGTCCCATCCCTGGCTGCAAAATGCCTCCAAAGCTTAGACATCCATCTCTCCTGTCTTTTCTGTCTCCACATTCACAGTCATCTGCAAACCTCTTCTCTGACATCCCTACCTAGCTGTCCTACCTCTTGCCTTTGTTCTCCCAGAACACTCTTTGTGTATCTCACCTCCTCTCTTTGAACTTCATCTCTAAATCATGTGTCTGGTTGTATCTCCCAGCTTGACTGAGGGCTCTGGAAAGGCAGGTACCAAACCCTGCCCATTGCTACATTCAGTAAAGGTTCAGGGCCAGCTTGCATTGGTTCCCAAGTAGGTACCACCTGGTGATAAGTCCATCTCCCCAGATCACCAATTTACCTGGGATAGAACCCCCATAGCTTTCATGTACTCCCACTTCTTTTTCCCCCAAGATACTCCTGGGAATAGTAGAAACTGAGAGAAGCTGCCTCTGAATAGACATTGAGTTAACACGCAAGAATAATGAAGGGGGCTGTGTTTCCTATGAAGGCTGTATTTCCTGTCATTCACTTGTTCTTTGTCACTATTTCCTTTGTCCTAACCTCTGGACAAACTGCTCTTTCCCACATCTTCTTTCTGGTTTAAGTCTAAAATGTCCCACAAGAATCTCTCACATACTTGTAAGGTGACTGAATCACAGGGGCACCATGCTCACCAGTGGATTAATTCATTGATGAATTCAGTAGCTGAATATAGTGGTTGGAGGTGGGACCTGGTTGGAGGTGGGTCCCTGGGGTGTGACCCACAAGGGTGCATCCCTGTTCCAAGCTCCTTTCTTTCTCTGCTTCCTGGCTGCCATGGGATCAGCACCTTTTCTCTACCATGCCTCCACTCGGCATGTGGTTTCTGCCTTTGAGCCAACCAACAGTGGCTAAATCCTCTGAATTTTATAAGTCAAAACGAACTTGTCCTCATTGAAACTGTGGGTGTTGGCTATTTTGTCCCAGTGACTGGAAAGTAAGTAATAGACTCAGCTTCAATCCTGAGCACTGCCAGACCTTTCTAGAGCCCTCAGGAGATCTACTTCTGCTAACTCCCCATCGTAACCTTACGTACCCCTTTTCCCCAAAATTAAGACCTGGTCAGAAAATACTCAGCCTTGAAAACTAGAGATCAAATATGCAGCCCCAGTCAGCCTAACCTTGCTAGTACTTGCCTTACATAGTAGCCACTGAGCAAGACAAGTGATGCCAGGTAAAGCAAGGATAGGCTGCTTGGGGCTGGCCTTTTTGATCTCCAGTTTTCAAGGCTGATGATTTTCCAGCTAGGATTTTTTTTTTTTGGAGGGGGGATACCAGGGATTGAACTCGGGTCCTTGCGCTTGCAAGGCAGGCCACCGAACTGCTGAGCTAAATCCCTGGCCAGCTAGGCTTATTTTAGGGGAAACAGTGTAAGGAAGCAGCCTATCTCTGTGCCCAAGGCCAGATTCTCTCTACCTGTCACCATCTTCTCTCTTGAGCTCAGGGCCCTCCTAACCTGACCAGAAGGGAACTTCTGATTCCAGGGCAGCATGAAGGTCTCATGGACTAGGCTTTTGTCATGCTCTGGAATTGCTAACAAGTCCCCCTTGGAGAGGACCCTGAAGCCCTCTGTATGATTTAACAGATGTATATTGCATCTCTTCTGTTCTAAGCATGGGGCCTTAGACCTGGTGCCTGCCCTGGTGGAGGTCATCTCCAGCAGGAGAGACAGACCTTCTCACTGTGTGGGAGGTCTGGGGCCGGATTGAAAGGGAGGTGGGAGAAAGCAGGAACTAAGTCCACACAGGTACAGGTACTGAGGGACACTTGGCAGAGCAGGGAGTGCTTGAATTGGGTTTTAAAGATACAGCATCTCTTGGGTTGTGAGTTACCTCAAAGATAAAGTGCTTGCCTCCAGTGCATAAAATCCTGTTTCAAACCCCATAGCACATAAAAAGAAGAGTGGAGGAGAAGGGAGGAGAGGGGAAAAGACGGGAGGGGAGGGGATAGGAGAGAGCATTCGGGTGGGTAAGAAGCAGGAAGAGCCCAACAGGCAGAAGTCCCTGAGCCAAGGCATGGGCAGGAGCCCTGAATACCACAGTGAGCTCAAAGAATAGCAGTGAGTCCTGGGTAAGGACACTAACTGCATTCTCCTGTGTCTCCTTCTAGGAGCCAACTTCACCCTGCGTGAGCTGGGGCTGGGTGAGGTGACGCCCCCTCACGGAACCCTCTATCGGAGAGACGTTGGCCTCCCCCACTGCGGCTACTCCCTGGGGGCCAGCTCCGACGCCGACCTGGAAGCGGACACCGTGCTGTCCCCGGAGCACCCCGTGCGGCTGTGGGGCCGGAGCACGCGGTCCGGGCGCAGCTCCTGCCTGTCCAGCCGGGCCAACTCCAACCTCACACTCACGGACACTGAGCATGAGAACACCGAGACCGGTGAGTGGCCCTCTTGGCCTGTGCCAGCACCTGGACTGGGAGGCTGAGGTTTTAATTATATATTGATTTCTGCTCCATCGTCAGGGGCTCTGGTGAAAGTGGTGAAAAATGACTTTGCTCTTGGTGGTCAAAAGTCAGGGCCTCTTGCACAGTTATGTGAAGTCCCCACCCATCAGTGACATAATCAGAGACTGGGTCACTGTTCTTTCTGTCCAGATTAGGGAAATGTCCATGGGCCTGGGTCACTGTGGACCAGGCAGGTGTGGCGGAGCAGGGGGCACGATGGGGTAACCCCTCCCCCACAGCCTGTCCTCTGTCCGACTCCTGCTCCGGAATCTCCAGCCTCCAGGTGCTCCAAGCCCTGAGTTATCCCCAGGGACTTGGTCCCATCCTGGTATTTTATGTGGATCACGGGACGGTTTACAAAGAAAAACTGCCATTTGGGGGTAACTTGGAAGTTGAGCTTTAGAGGAGCTACTGCTCAAAGGCTACAAAGTTTCAGCTGCGGGAATAAGTTTGTAGGGTCTTAGTGCATATATTGACTAGTCAGGACAGGCTGAGCATCACTGGGGCTAGAAAATTGGACTTATTCAGATTTGGGAGTATCTTTGCAGATTGTACTGGTTGAGCACTTCTAATCCAGAAATCTGAGCAAAATCTCTGAAATCTAATATAACGCTCAAAAGTTTCAGATTTTCAGGTTACAGATATCCGCTCTGTAGTAACGTATATTTCAAAATGCTAAAGAAGTCGAATTTATTCTTACCACACAAAAAGATAGTATGTGAGGTGATAGACACATTAATTCGTTTGATTTAATCCTTCCACAGTGTATGTTACATATACCAAAGCATCATATAGTACCTCACAGATATATACAATTAATTACTACTTCTCAATTAAGAAAAAGATGAAACAATAATTTTAAAAAGTAAAAATGAGGTTTTGGCCTGGTTTCCCCATGACCTCATGAAGTACTAGCAACATACTCCTAGTTCTTTCTGAGACCAAAGATATTATGGGAGGAAAAGGAGAGGACTAGTTCACAGGCCTCCTTCTCATGCCAGAAGGAGGGCACCCAGTTCTAGGATTTTCCTCCTTTCTCTTGGAACCTGCCGGCAGATCTTGCTTGGAGGGGTTCTTGAGTTAGTCACTGTCCTTTGTGGAGCTGACCACTCAGGAATCTCGATTTCTGCCATGTTTTGGTTCCCCCTCCAACCTCTGGACTCAGTCAGGCAGGCACTGAAGAGGGCCCTGCTGGATCTGGCACTGTAGATTTGGAAAGAATAGCAGAAGCCCAGGACAGCCCTGCCACTGGAGCAGGCTTTTGTTCTAGGAAGCCCGGTAGGGGTCTGCGGGTGCTTGCACAACTGGAGAACCACCAGAGCGCTGTTCAGAGGGCACTGTGAACTAGAGCAGCCAAAGCCAGCCCAATGCCAATGCCTCCTCCTGGCTTCCAGCCCCGAGTACAGGAGCCAACACTGCCTGGGACTTCAAGGGCAGGGCAGGGTGCAGGTCAGAGCTGAGCACTTGGAGGAGTTAATCTCTGAAAAGGAGGCTCCAACTGGGCTGTGTAAAACTAAGATCTAGATTAGGGATAAGGCAGGTGACCAAAATATGGTCAGGATCAGGCTAGGAAATTTACTCTCAAAGATCCAGGTGCAGCAGGAATTCCAAAATTGTGCCACCCAGGGACTCAGATGTTTCCCAAAGAGCCTGCATAATTGCTGGAGCACGGGAGAGAGAGGCAGGTCCGAGGCATTAGTGTGGCAGTGTCACCCCCCTAACCCTCAACCAGTCCTGGGAGGGGGATAGTGATCTCAGCCCCTGAGGTGCTTTCTCTCCACAGCAGAGAAGGAGGCACATACTCTCCCTACCAAGGCCCAGGCTGAGCAAGCAGCCCGGCCTCTCCTCGCTCACATTGAACCAGAGAGCCAAACCAAGTGGTGGCAGGGGGACTGGTACAGAGAACATGGGCTCAGGTTAGAGGACAGGAAATTCCAGTTCCATCCCTGCCCTGGGATGTGGCGTTGAGAGAGTTGTAGCCTTTCTCTGGATCTCACTTTCCCAATTTATAGAATAGTTTCTATTCTATAAATAGTTTCTATTCTATAAATGAGATTGACAAGCCCTATGTTGTAAGAATATTGATGGTTCTTCAACTTGGAAGAGAAAAGTATCTAATAAGGTAAGGAAGAAACACTGGGTTAAACATATTTAGACCAGTTTCTCTACTGTAGGACTTCTCAGAGTCTTTAAGATGCTTATGTGCGTGCTAATGACAGATTACCAAAGAAGGACATGTGCAGTATTCTTCAAACCAGAGAACCCTTATTTCTCAAAGCTTCTGAAGGAACCAGAATTCTAATAGATACCTTTTTAGAATAACTAAGCTGAGTGACCTGCAGGCCCTTCTAAGTCTAGAGTTCTGTGATTTTAAGTGCTGTACTGGTGTGCATAGATGAAGGTGCATGTGATGAAAGTAATAATAACATGAATAGTTCATTGCTGCTGACTATCAGAACCCAAGCAAGTGCTAAGCACTTTAGCTATGTGATCTCCTTTGCTCCCCCTACAACACTTTGAAGTGGACTTTTTTTCTATCCCCGTTGCATAGAAAATGAAAATGCAGCCTAAAGATGCTAAGAAACTTGAGTAGGTCACATAACTAGCAAGATAGGATTGGAACTCAGGCCTGTATGACTCAAAAATCTTTACTCATTTAGCCGTAGTGGTTCTAATAAATCCTCAGTGCAGCCAAATACTTGGGTTGTTTGTTCTTTTGAAGGCTTCTTGCCATGGTGACAAATGATCATTTCCCATGAAGTCATGACAGAGTAAGGCACACACCGCCTACATTACTGTATACTCCCTGAGAGCTGAATTACAGTTGAATTAAGCCTCTGTTGGGTGATAATGACATATTTGATGAGCCTGAAGAGCTTGAGGGGGAAGGGGAGAGGACTGACGGCTCCCCATCCATGTCTCCCCACCCTCCCCTTTGACTGTCCATTTTTACACTTGCCATGGAACTTTAAGCTATACTCAGAGAAGGAAGGCAAGCAGGAAAAGAAGATGAGACGTAAGCCTAACAAAGGGCTCCTGCCTTCTGTATCCCTTGCAGATCTGGGCTTGTTGACCCTGGCCACTCATGGGTGCCTGCATACTCCTCCACCTGCCTCAATTGGGAGCTTACATTAGCAGCTTTGTTCTACTTGGGTCTATAATGACAACAATCATAGGAATGGCTCACTTTAATTCTCTGCAGAGGCCCACAGTGCTCTTGCTCATCTGGGAAAACGGAAGCATCAAGAGATGAGGGGTGTACGTGATGCCACATTTCTAGATGAGCTACAGTTAGGCCTTAGAGTCTTGGCTCTTTGCAGACTCTCTTTCCCTTCCCACTCATCTTCCCACCTTCTCTCTCTCCTTCCCTCTTGTCTTTCTCTACTTCATCCTCTCCTTCTCTCACATCCAACCTGCTCCCACCTCTTTCCTTCTTTGATGAGAACTTGCATCTCACCATCAGAACAGCATGATTCCACATCACATGCTAGCCCACATGCCACCTTGGGGCCACTATTCAGGAATAAAGGAAAGCCAGCAACCTCTGCTGAGGGCCTATGGCTACACTTATACACTTATCTTTAATCCTCATTGCAAGGGCATTCCCATTTGCCACAGGGGACAAATGAAGCCACAAAGAGGTCCACTGACATGACAGTGAGTCATCAAAGTTTGGATTTGAATTCAGGTCTCTCTGATCCTATAGGCCAAGCCCTTTAAATGAGAATTTTAGATTGTCAACTGAGGTCACCAAAGATGTACAACCAACTTCTCTGAGACCTTTGCCAAATAAATGAGAACTGTAAAGCAGAACCCTCAGTGACCCCTAGCCACAGGAACATTGACTCTGCCTCTACATCCAGCCTCGTATCAGTCAATAGTAATTGTCAACAGTATTGACAGCGGTGGAGGCTCTCACTGGGGTCACAGTGATGCTGCCATCAATAATAACTTTTATAGGGTCCATTAAAGCCAGTAACTGCCCCTGAAGGTTAATGTCAGCAGCATTCAAGTCACTGCTTAATATCTAAAATAAATACAAAATTGACTGGGTAGTGTAAACACAAGTCTTCCTCCTCAGGGCGGTCAGGCAGAGCTAGCCCTCAAGGCCTTCTGGCCAGAGGGCCCAGCACGCTGGAGGACAGTAAGGAGGAGCTGGCATGTCAGGCACACAGTCAGTATTCAATAGATGTTTTTTAGAAGGCACAGGTTACAACAGGAGCTCTGCTCCCAAACACTGGCTCAGGATGACTGGCTCGTGTCCCTCTGGTGGATTCATTCTGTAATTTGTTCCATAACCATCCTGAGCTTTTCCAGCATGCCAGGGATTATTCTAGAATGTAGGAATAAGACAGTGTGCATTGAGGTGATATGGAAATAAAATCACCTATGGCTATGTCACAGACTGATTTCAGAGTCCATTGAGGTCTGATATCTTGGTTGTGCTACATCCTAGCTGTGAGACCTTGGGCAGGTCACTTCACCTCTCTGAGTTACAGTTTTCTCATTTTGAAAACAACATTCCACAGGCTACCAAGGGCTAAGAGAGAGCATAATAGGGAGCTATTGTTCAGTAGGCACAGAGTTCCAGTTTGAGATGCTGAAAGTTCTGGGGATGAATAGTAATAATGGTTGCACAACAGTCTAAATGTACTAATCCACTGAACTGTGCCCTTAAACATAACTAACGTGGTGTAATTTCATCTATAATTTATCAGTATAATTGGAAAATACAAAGCTCATGTGACTTGCTTCCGGGGGTGCTGCTGTGAGTCTGCACAGTGCTGGTGAAGCATCTGGTCTCTGTAGGTCTCTAACCCATGCTGACTAGTAGTGTTAATTGTTTAGAGCTCTGTGGGATGCCATTCGTTCTGCCCTGAGGGTGGAGAGGCTTTCTTTCACTTTGCACACTTTATGCACTTGGGCTTGAAGGC